ATCGTAAACTTGAAAGGGCGTCTATAATAATGTGTTCAGCATGTCAACTGTTTGTCATAGAGGGTGTCGAGGAGGGCTGCGTTGCAGAGTGGCGGGTAGGGGATTGGGAAGGGGAATGGGGACGCATCAAAGCTCAGCTCCGAGTCAACAATGGTGGACAGCAACAACAGGGCCACAGGGCGCTGCTCCCCATTGCTCCCCACTTGCCACTTATGAAATTGATTGTAAACACAATGAGGGTTCACTCCGAACGACACCCACTATTCAACGCCTCCCGCCCGGCCCTGTCCCTACTGTAGTTGACATATCGGCGCCAAGCAGGCAATTAACATGCAATTGTCATAAATTTACCCAGTGCACAGATTATTAAACATTCATAAAATAAATTACAAGCCAATGCGCATAAATTGTGAATTGATTTTAACGCGGCAAATCCGAACAAAGAATCATCGTCAATGCCATTAAGGAATCTGGTTATTGAATTATAACCACTTCTACGCATAATGGCCAAAGGGAAAAACATAAATTTCGCCCCCGACTAAACCATTGTGTGGAGTGCGAGTAGAAGAAATCAATTGCCAAAGTGCATTCGAGGGTTTTAAGTGTGCACAGACGAGGAAGACGACGACCAGCAAATATGTATTGTAATTGCAGCCGTAAAGAAACGAAGGGAAATCCCAATAAATGCCACACAAAGGGGCAACCCTAGTTGTGAGGGTTGTCATGGGCAAAGGGCTTCAAAGGGGTGTGGTAAATAGACTTTAAGTTTTCCTGTATACAGCAAACTGCTCTCAGTCAGCTCAATTTGAGACACTGACTCCAACTTTGAACATAACCTCACTTGTGTTAAAGCCAGTGCAGAAAATGCAATTACAAAAAAAAAATAGAAAAGAAAAACAAAAAAATATGTTTAGAAATTTGTCTGTGAATATTATTGGATTACTTAGTACATTTTCTCACATTTCGCTCTCAGAAAGAAGCACGCGAAGCAGATCATTTTTTTGGGCGCCAGAATATCATTAGAAATTCCCTGTCAGTTTTAAGAACTCCAAAGGGTAACGCCAGAAAAAAAATACACTTGAAATAAAATGATGACACAACTGCGCCAGTAATAATAATGACGATGACGATGATGATGATAATGATGATGACGACGATGATTATGTTGATGGGGCATGCCAAACAAAGAGAAAAATAAGTAAAAAAGAAACATTTTATGACATTGCTGACAATTTATGATGCAAATTCCTCGCAACAGAAAAGCAAAAACGAGGAATGAAGGATGCAGCCTGCGTTTTGACGGCGGGAGGGGAGGGGAGCGGCGACGACAAATTTGTCGAGAAATTGCATAAAAAAATCCATATCAAAAATAAATTGTTATGCTGAAATCTGTAATCTGAAGTAGTTGCGGATGCACTCGAAAGATATTTACGGGTGCGCAACCCAAGAGCAAAATGGCAGACCCGAATACAAAATGGCAACAAAAATAAATAAACTCATTGCGAATTGTTTTTCTGTTGATTCATCAGAAAATAAATTGAAATGCTCTTGTTGACATTTAACCAAAAAAAAAAAAAAAACAAAAACAACAAGTGAAGAATAAACACAAAAACAACACTGAATGCAGTCGGGTCCTGTCAGGTTTCAGCCAAGCTGTGTTTGCACTGTTGATTTATTTAATTTACTAAAACTAACAGCATAAAATATTTGATAATAAAATCACGTTCACACGCCTATGGCCACAAATCAATTGATACACAAACACACACAAACATATAACACACACCGAGCTAAATAACCCAACAAAAGTCCACCAACCAATCTATCCAATCGACCAACAAGTTCATTAAAACTTTTATACATACGAGTATACATGTATGTTTGACAAAAAAAAAAAAAAAAACTAAATAAATCCAATAAAATGAGGCTCCCATTTTCGTGGTAACCGCAACAAAACTTCAATTCGTTGGGACGTTTTGGTTATGGCCATTTCAACTAAATGGATTTGCCCCTGGGGCCAAACAGTAACCCAAACCCAAACTCATTCCCAAGCTCAATGTGTGTGGTCAAAACTTTGCATATCATCATTTCATTTCATGTTAGTTAAGCGTAGCCAAAAACATTTTTATTTTGCGTGTAGCACTTAATATTTATGAACATTTCATTATAAAAATATAGCCAAACAACAAAGCTTTGGCAACATTTCATATATGTGAATGTAATAAATTTTTTAGTGGCCAACCGACCAGAAAAGCGAAACTTCAACATATTATTAGAAATCTGAAATTCGAGCAGAGTTGTTCAATGAGTAATCCATGTGATTCACTAAGCCATGGGAACTAGTAAATCCAAGGAATTTCTGAGTATTTGAAACTGCTCTAGAGATGAAAGAAAAACATTAGAACATTAAAAGTCATAAATCATAAATCGCGTGTGTCTTCTTTAAAATGAGAATAAAATTAGGTAGTAAGAAGATATGCAATCCAATCCAATCCAAGATATGTCATTATATTATTATATTATTTGTTTTAGACATATTCATAAATGACCCTCCATTTAAGTTTGTGTTCATTTGCATTCCCAAATCAATGTCAATTACATTTTTGAAGGGATTCATTTGATTTCTTTTTAACTTTAATTGTAGTAAACCATATATCATCTATATTTTTAGCTCGAGATTTTCAAGGCTCTCCTCATTTTTTAGACATTTCGCAGACGAAACAATCAAATATTCCCGATTTAATCTTGTTTTTCGCTAAGCGTGTCAATTTTTAGTCCCACATCAATTTAAATTACATTTTCGAACAGTTTTCAAGGGATTAATATGATTTCTTTATTTATTTATTTTTGTATTACAATTTGATAAATTTGATTGTATTCAGCAGAATGTCAATCTTATTGTGAGTAATAATTGACAAAGATTTGATATCGTTGCCAATAACCAGAATATTTTATAATGAGTTTTCTTTTCTCATTTCCATTTAAAACAGTTTGTTATGAATTTTTATTGCATCCTATCATAAAAATATATATGTAAATATAAATATATATTTTTGTTTGTGTTCGAAATTAATTTATCGCCTTCAAATAATAACGAAACAAAATCGAAGCGAGCGATCGAAAAAAATATTGTTTACGAACAACGTGCAACGTGCAACGTACAACGTACAACGTTCAACGTACAACGTCAAATGTCTGCTGAAGAAGAAGAAGAAGCAGCAGCAAAAGCGTTGCCTGAATTTAAATGGACAAATTAATTGCGTTTGTCATGTTTTTGTTCGTGGCTGGGACTGCTTCTCATTGAGTTCTCGCTGCTCATGGAAACCCAAATAAAAAAAAATTAATTGGTTTTTTTCTGTGGACAGCTCTGAAATGTGTTTAATTCAGCATTAATGAAACATACACGTCACAGAGATTTTTTGTTCTTCATTTACTTGTTGTACACCAAAGTGCCAATTGTCGTTGAATTATTGGTTGCATTTAAAGTCGTTATAAATCTTGTTATCTGTGCGATCGGCGTCTGATCAACAAACGCCCATTAAACAGTTGCCAGCACGACCATTATCCTTGTCTATCCAGCAATCGCATTAGCTGAGACGAACCAAACCCAACCAAACCGAACCAAACCGAACCGAAGTGAACCCTTTTTGGGAACGCACACGAACAGAAAAGAAGACAAAAATACACGGGGGGGATCTATCCCTCTCTCTCTCTGTGGACATTAATTATCACACAGTTTGATTTTTTCGATTAAATGCCTTTTTTTTTGTTGTTCTCGCGTGTAGGAGGATCAATCGAGTGGAGGAGCTCCTTCCCATGCCCCTTCAGAGCACTGCTCCCTGCCCACCATGTCGTGTCAGTTGACATTTGTGATTGTGTCGCCTTTTTTGTGAATTAATTGAGCCTCCACTGCTTTTTTTTTGTTTTGTTTTTTTTTCATTTTTCTGGCCTTCAAAATTAAGTCGTTTCTCTGGAATGTTTTTGGGTGCCTGCCTGCAGCTTTTATCCCGTTTCTATCGTGAACCGACCACACATGGCGTTCCCCAAATGGGACTCCAATTTTGTGGCTCACGCAGCTGGAGAATATAAATATATATATGTGTATATATATATACTCTGATAGCTGCGGGCCGCATTGCCAATTAATTATAATTGATTAGCAATATTAACGGATGAATATTAAGTTGATGTCAATTCGCATGAAATCATCACGTTTGCATCCGCAGCAACATTTAATTATTTATAGTTTTTTATGTATTTATTTTTTTACATCTGTTGTCCAAAGATATTTCGAGTCTATCAATTTGCAGCGAAAGCTAAAATTCTCGATAAATGATAAATGATAAATGATAAATGACTTAATTGCGGCTCTCAACAGATTTGTGAAGCGTTCGAAATTATCATTTCAACAAATATATTCATTTTTTTGATGTGATGAATCATATGTAAATTAAATTAATGCTGCACAAACCGAAATAGAGAAAGAAAGAGTGTGGAGAGAGAGAGAGAGAGAGAGAGAGTGGATTATTGAGGAAAGCATTTTTTAAAGCGTTTTATAGCACTGCACTACTATGCAAGTATAACAAGTACCTTGAACAACTATAAATTATTTCTTAAAAAAGTGAAACAGAAATTTACATTCATTTTTTGAATTCTGTGCATATTGAAAATGGATAAAAATTGTATAATAAATAAAAATATTCCCATTTCGAGCTGTGGTTCGCTGTGAAATCGCTCTTCTCTTTATTGATGAAGTATCCCTGTTTTTCAGCCACTTGACACAGACCAGAGTAGACAGGGACTTGTATTAAATGTTAATCTGATTTCATTTTCAGCCGTTGGACTGCCCTTTACTTTATTATCAATAGTTCTCTTCAAATGCAACCCTGACCTGCTGGCAGCAAATTAAACGGAGTTGCCTGCGCCTTTGAGAGCTGTCAGTCGAAGCGGGTTCCGAATAATAATCAGCTTCCATTTGCCATTTTCCAGCATTCTCAACTGTTTTGTTGTGCATAGAAACAAATTTGGAAAATGGGTCGCGAATCCAAAAATAAGTTTCGATCGCGCAAACGCGTCAATAGATATCGTGCTTATGCTCCAGCTCGTTCTCGTTCCCGTTCCCGTTCCCGTTCCCGATCCGGATCGCCTGCCCGTTCGCAATCCAAATACCGTTCGTCATATTACCGATGCGAGGCAGGTGAATCGGGCCGCATAATAACGTGGCAGGCGAACACGTCACGGAAATGCCGTCGCACCAGCAGCGCCTGGGATGTGCCACCGGTGGGCTATGAGCATCTATCGCCCGTCCAATACAAGTCGATGCAGGCCAGCGGACAGATTGCCCTGAGGATTGTGCCAAATGCGTTGCCCACCGGCGAGTCGGCATCGATAGCGACTGTGACGCGGCAGGCACGTCGCTTGTATGTTGGCAACATACCCTTCAATACCACCGATGATGAGATGAGGGCCTTCTTCAATGTGCAGATCCAGCGCATGTGTGGCGCACTGGAGAACGATGGCAAAGCTGTGCTCACCTGCCAGACGAATCTGGAGAAGAATTTCGCATTTCTCGAGCTGCGCTCGATGGATGAGACAACGTTGGCCATCTCATTTGATGGCATCAATTATCGCGGCCAATCGCTGAAGATACGGCGTCCACATGACTATCATGCTGGGGGCACGACTGGGAGCTTTGTGGGTGCCACTGGGTATGTGTCTGGTGCAGTGGTGCAGTCGAATGCGGCCATTGCCACTGTGGTGCCAGATACACCGCATAAGATATATATTGGTGGCTTGCCCACCTGCCTCAACGATGATCAGGTCAAGGAGCTGCTGATGACCTTTGGCCATCTGCGCGGCTTCAACATGGTCAAGGATGAGCTGGGTCACGGCAAGGGTTATGCCTTCTGCGAGTACATGGATGCCTCGATAACGGAACAGGCCATCGCCGGCCTCAACGGCATGCAACTGGGCGAACGCAAGTTGATCGTGCAACGTTCTCTGGCCGGTGTACGAAACCTGGTTACCCATCAGTTGCCCGTGTTGCAAGTGCCCGGATTTCCCGCTGACGTCAAAGTGGGCAAGGCAACCGAGGTGCTCTGTTTGCTCAACATGGTCATGCCCGACGAGCTGTTGGACGATGCCGAGTACGAGGATATACGCAAGGACATCAAGGAGGAGTGCGCCAAATTTGGCAAGGTCATCAGCATCAAGATACCGCGACCCTTTGGCGAGTCGCCACAGCCCGGCTGCGGCAAGGTCTATGTTCGCTTCGAGACCACCGATGTCTGCAAAAAGGCCCTGAAAGCATTGAGTGGCAGACGCTTCAGCGGACGCATCGTGATGACATCCTTCTACGATCCAAACAAATTCAAACGCAAGGATTTTCAATAAACATAAAAACCCACAAATATTATCAATAACAATAATCAAATAAAGAGCTATTTAATTGTCGACTCTTCAAGTGACAAAGAAGGAAGCAAATCCAACTGAAAAAGGATATCAATCTGAAATGCCTTAACACTCATAAATCTCAACTGATTTTCTAAGACTGGGGCTTTTTAGTCATAGTCTGATCTGTAGATGTAAAGTTGAAACCCGATGGGTCAAGACTTTCCGCTTTCATAAATTTGTGAAAGTTTAAAACTCGTTTCAAGGTCGCAAATCCAAATTGCATCCCAAATAAATGCTTGGGCATCGGTCAAAGCTTTCCACTGCCAAATCCAATCCGATTTTCAAAAATCATTGCTTCTCAATCATGTTTTGACATCTAGATAAATACTGGAAACAAAGTTCAAAAATAGTTTCTCGCTGTTGCAATTGAACTCCGTCTTGCCACAGCTCTGCCAATTCATCTGTTGCCAGCCATAATACCCTTCTCTACGCTTCATACAGGGTATACTCCTGTCTGTTTTTTCGTGCCTTGCCTTGTCTTGTCATATCATTATCTGCTTAAGAGCGCTTTAGATTCTGTTGCCTGACTGTGGGCATGTCTGCCTCCTTTTCTCCGCCTCACACTCCCTCTGTCTGTCTCTCAGTCTCTCAGTCTCCGTCTCTCTGTGTGTGGACTGATTCAATTAGTTGACGTACAATCCTTATATACTTTTAAAAGCTGCTCCACAGCTCGCCGCCAGCTTAATTAAAATTTTCAGAGTTTCGCCTTCTTATCGCTGTGGCATTTCTCACATATTCACACCTTCTTCGCCGATGTTGTTCAGCTCCAGCTCCAGCTTCAGCTCCAACTCCGGCTTCAGCTTCAGCTCATTACGGCCAAGCAGGGCATTGTTAATGCTTTTACAATTGTGTGAAGAGTGAGGGCGGGGGCAGGGAGGCAGGGGAAAGGAAGCTGCACCAGAAGCTTATCGCACAACACAACGATTGCATTTTCTCAGGTTTAAGAAGGGTCTCTGTTGTATTTTATATTTTGTTGTTGTTCTTCTTCTTGTTGTTGTTGTTTGGAGCGCACCTTATCTTTATTTTGGTCATTTGGCCGACAGCCGGTCATCAATAAAGGCAAAAGGCGAAGCTTCGACGCTTTATCGCTGGGAGACGACTTCAACTAAACGCTTTATCGCAAAGTCCACCATAAATGTATGCGGCCGGGACACAAATTAATTCAACGCCTTGGATTTGTCATCGGGTTCGGTGGTTTGCCTTTGCTTTTAGGTAGACAATCGCCTTCTCAACTTGCCGCCAAGGGCAGCAGCAGAATTCAATTCAGTTCAGTTCAGTTCAGTTGAACTGCTGCTCTCAGAAATCAATGCCTATTTCGATGGGTAATTAATAAACGCCCATAAAGATGCGGATACAATAAAAATTCCAAAGAGAACTACACAGAGAGAGAGAGAGAGAGAGAGATGGAGAGAGATGGAGAGAGTATTGAGAAACTGGAAAAATCGTTGGGCTTTGTTTCGGTCACTCCAAAAAGGGTTTCTTTCATCGTTTTTTGTGTGTGTTTATTTTTTATGAGCTGCAGCTGCCTTGCACGGGATTAACTGGATTGTGTGAGATGATGGCCAGTCTCACCCCTCACCCCTCCCCCCTCTCCAGACACCCGCAACTACTTGCCTCTTGCCAGTTGGGGGCAGTGCCAGCATTAGCATCTCTCTCTTCCCCTCTCTCTTTCTCTCTCTCTCTCTCTCTCTCTCTCTCTCTCTCTCTCTCGCTCTCTGTTTTAATCTTTTTTATTGCTGACCATTTGGTGTCATAGGTTAGGACTCTGTCGATTGTCGCACGCAATGATTCTACACTGAACAAAATGTTATAGCTATAAATTAAATATATATATCTAAATAAGAAAAAAAATAATAATAATTAGACAAAGTGGTAGGCAGATGAAGGCATCGCCGATCCCTTGAGGTATATATATTCCTGATCAGCAACAACATCCGACTGTCTCTCTGAAAGTAAGGATCTTAAATAGGAACTAGAGAATCGAAGTTCTCTTTAAATATATGCGGATTAGACATATTTCATTTGATCGATAACTGTCCCGTTTTCGAGAATATCGATAAAAATCGATTTACGATTGCAATAAAATACACAATTGTATCCATATAGCCTTCAAATTGATGTACAATATACCCAGACATTCTTTATCAACTGATCGGTGATAGTTTTTTGTTTTTTTTTTAATTCTTTTTATTTTTTTGAGTGTACAGCACACAGTGGTGGCAGCACTTGGTCGGGATGTTAGGTAATCGAGGCGATTGGAGAATTAAGAAATCAAATCCGTGACTCTGAATAGTTTGGATAGTTTGGATGGTTTGGATAGTTGAGTGAACTCGTCGCGCGAGTTGTTTCTACGCATCTTTAATTGCATTCTCAGCATTTATTGTTTTGGGGCGAGAATTTGAATATGATGTAGTAGATAATTATGGGGCAGGGGTTTGGGGTTTGGGGTTTGGGGGAGGGGCGTAATCTTGATGGTGGTCATTAAATGTGGCTACCTACAGCTATATGATTACAGCTACAAAAAGGCAAACCCTAAACCCAAAAAACAAAAGCAACATTTTCAAAGCGTTTTGATAATAGTTGGAATCGATACTCAAATAACAAGTTAATTAGCTTTATTTCTTGGTTCATTTCCGATTTGGTTTGCTTTTGAAAACGGATTTGGATTTGGATTTGAGACGCAAAGAGCACCCACAACAAAGTATCTAATTTAATGGCCTTTGATATGTATCTGCGCTTAGACTAAATGTATCTTTTAGCTGCTAAAAACTTATTATAAAATCAAATAAACAAATTTGTTCTTCTAATGATTAACAAATTTATCTGATGCTGCTCACCGATATCTGATCAATTTGTAAGGTTGCATTTCTAATGAAGAAATATTGAACAGACTGAAAACCAGTCAAGGCAAAAAAACCAAATTCAAAATATATAAAAAAATGTGTTATTTGAATAACCAGAAAGATATTATCTGATTTTCAATTTAAGCGAAACTCTGCTCAAATCAATCCAATCAACTTTCTTCATTAAACCCATTCAAAATGCTTTTATGGAGTAAATATTTAGTTAACCAAAAAAGACGCAAAAAAACGATAAGAAAAGTATTTAATTAGCCGGAAACCTGTTGCCGTGTGTCGATTTTCGATTGCAAAAACCCCCAAAATTCAATTTGCATTTCCTGTTTGCTGACCACGCCCCCACCCCCCCCCCCACTCCTCTCTTCCCACGCGCCTATCCACCCTTGCTAAATAAAATCAAATAAACAAATATCGCAGTGCAACAAAAACCCCAAATTAAAGCAGAGTGAAGAAGAAGAAGACGAAAAAATGTTTTGTTATTTCCTTTTTAGCTCTACGTTCGGGCTTCGAGCAAAGGCAAAAACAAATTACACGCAAATACTCGTCGAGGGGATGGGGGATGCTCGCCAGTGACGTTTCTGTCTGCTGACGTCGCAGTCGTCGTCGTTGCTGCGTTAATGGCAGCGCAATTAATTCGAGCAAATCGTCTGTGAACCCTTTTTATGACCAGCGTAAGGTGAGCGAGAGCGACGAATGGCAGAGTGTGGGGTGTTGGGGTCGGTTTTTGGGCGCTGCTCTCAAATAAAAATTCATTAAACGGTAAACAGCGTCAGTTTTGTTTGTGCTTTTATGCCCGCCTTTGAACCGTTAAACGTGAAATAGGCGCACAAATATAAAATTTCTTTGAATGCCAACCGAAATTGATGCGCAATTTGCGAGTGCGAATAGACAGCAACAGAAGCAAGAGAGTGGGAGAGAGATAGAGAGACAGCTGCTATGCTGATGATGAAATACGCCTTAAACATTCCTAATTTATTCCACACTCAGGCAACACTGGTTTGGGAATAACTCAACTCGATTCTATTTTCAACGCTAGCTGATAATAAAACTAAATTGAATAAATTAAACTAAATTGCTATTAACATTTGCAAACTCCAATTGTAATAAATCAGGCAGAAGCTAGCTGTAAAAATCGTTGTAAAATTAGCATTATTATTAGCAGTAATAAGTAGTAAGTGTAGTAATAGTAGTAGGATAAATAGTAGAGGTTTGAATACTTGTAAAATTAGTATTTGTTGTAATAAGTAGTAATAATAATATGAGTAGTATAAATAGTTGTAAAATTAGAGTTAGTATTAGTTGTAATAAGTAGTATTAGTAGTAGTTGTAGTACATGAGCAAAAATAGTAGTTTAATTAGTAACAGAATTTAGTAGTAGTATTAGTAGCAGTGGAAATAAAATTAGAATTAGTAGAAGTAAAAGTAGTATTAGTAATGGACATATTATGATACAAATAAAAATAAAAACATAAATATAACAATAGTAGTAGCTATATTATTTATGGAACAATTTACATAATTAGTAGTTGTAGTAGTAAAAATAGTAGTATAAATATTACCTTTTTATGAAGCATTTACAACACTACTACTATTTACTACACAATTACCATTTATGGCTTTACTACTATTTATACTACTGCTACTGCAATTACGTATGCAAGCAAAGGAGAATTTCGTAGGGTACAAATAAATAAATAAAAGAAAAGGAAACAAAATTTGAAAGAAAAAAGGAATACCTGGAAGGGAAGCGCACTTAATGAGGCCAATAAAATCGAAGCGCCGTTCCACTTTCCAGTCCAGTTTAACAGGTGCCCCAACAACAACAACAACAACCAGTGCAGACAGGTAGCCAAAAAGGATATTTTTTAGGCAACATTTAAATTTGAATTTCAATTTAATTTTCGGGCATTTGCTTTGATATTTTGCCGTCGCTTTGCTTTTGTTACAAATCAAACAGAAAATTAAACTGAAGGGGGAGTGGGGGATAGAAAGAGAGAACAACAACAACAAAAACCATAAGCCAAAGGATGCATGTAGAGAACAAAACGAGCAAAGAGACTGGAAAAACACAATATGAAAACATTTTAAGCTGCTTGGCTTCGTCTCTCTCTCTCTCTCTCTCTCTCTCTCTCTTTCACTGTCCGTCTCTCCCTCTCGCTCTCTCTCTCTCTTTCACTGTCCGTCT